CAAGGTTCAGAATCTTCCACGTCAGAAGGAATCATGAAAGTGTTTGAAAAAGCACAAAAATACAAAGAATACAACAAAGATGGAAATATCTTGCCTGTCGTTCTACTCGATGAATTCGGATTAGCTGAAAATTCAAAGTACTACCCTCTTAAAGTTCTTCATAGTTTGCTGGAGCCTGGTGAAGGGAAACTTCCTGAAATTGCAGTTGTGGGAATTTCAAGTTGGTGTATTGATGCCGCAAAGACGAACCGAGCAATTCATTTGTCCAGACCTGAGCTTACCAAAGACGACCTTTACGAGACGGGGTATTCTCTACATTACTCTGTTAATGGAGATAGCAGTCATTGTTTGGCAAAGGGAGAGATAAAATGTTTAGCTGATGCCTATTTTGAATATCAAACACAACAAATATATTCTAATTTCCATGGTCTGCGCGATTACTATTCCCTGGTTAAAACAGTTTGCAGCAAAATTGAAGAAGTTAATGTCTCATTACAGCGCAACTTTGGTGGCATTCCTGATGAAGTAACCAATATTCAAAAAATCTTCCTCAACAAATTGGACAACACAACTTCCTGTGATATCATCCCAGTAATCCAGTTAATTCAAGCGAATCTTGCAGATCCCCACGCTCGTCATCTGATGCTTATAACAAGTGGAGCTTCAGCCATTGGAATTTTGGAAAAAAGTTGTGTTAACTCGAAGAAGGAAATCATCAAAATCTATGGCAGTCGTTTCGAGGAAGACCAGTCTGAAGAGTACAACTACAGAATTTTGAGTCGTATTATTCTTTGCATGGAGCGCAATTGCATCTTGATACTAAGAGATCTAGAAAGAATATATGGAAGTTTGTATGATATGCTAAACCAGAATTACGCAGTGGTCGGTAGCAGAAAACACTGTCGTGTTGGGCTTGGAGCCTACAGCAACTCAATGTGCCAAGTAGACGATGGATTTCGTTGCATTGTTCTCGTTGATCAACATAAAGTGGATTATTCTGACCCTCCATTCCTTAACAGATTCGAAAAGCAACTTTTACGATTTTCTGATGTGTTGACTGAAGATCAGAAGGGTGTTATTAAAGAACTCCGTGATTGGGTTAAAGGAATGTCAACAATACAAGCTTTAGAATTAAATTTCAAAGAAACAGATTTGTTCATTGGTTTCCATGAAGGCACCCTACCATCATTGGTCTTATCACATGGAAAAGAAAAAGATAACGTGCTACAGAAATGTAAAGATGACTTAATGTGGATTGCATCTCCCGATGGAGTGCTTCGGATGAAAAAATGCACAATATTGAAAAACGATACACATGAGGTGCAGAACTTACATGATGAATATTTCAAGAAACCAATCCACCAAGGTTTTGGTGTTTTTATGGAACACGTAACTAGCCAACAGAAATCATCTTTTTTTGCCACTGATGAAATGGAATCCAAAACGGTTGTCATGACATTTGCAAACATTCATACAGATATTCTTAAGTCCTTGGGGGACAATTCAAAGTTAAAATGCCAAACTGAACGGCTTAGTGCGTATAAATCTGAGAAACAACTGACTGAAATGATCAACAAATACTGGAATGCCCCAGATAAGGAGTTGTTAGTTTTACAATGTAAACCAGGTTTGGATGGTACACACTTGCTACATGCACGCTTTATCATCGAAGAAGAAAGAAATGCCTACAAACGAGGATTAACAAAAAAGAAAGCACAAACAAACAAGCATGTTTGTATCGTAGTGCACGTTCAACGCGGAGAAACACCAGATGTTTCCTGGCAGTTTAGTTTCCTGTGTGGTTGGAGACTAGTCTTCCTTGACGTCCTTGAAACTCCTCCTATTCCACTGAACGAAATACTTGGTAAAAGTGCAAAAGATCTTCTCAAATCCAAATGGTCCATTAGCACAATTGCGCAAAGCCACCTATTATGGTGTTTCACCTGCCTTAAATATACTGGTAAACAACGTCCTGTAGATACTGTTGTACACATTCCAAACAAACTCTTCCAATCCAAAGCGGTTTCGACAAATATCGAGGAATTAATCTTACAGTCAGCAGACCTGAGAGCTTTGGAAGATGTAAATTGTTCAAATTGGCAAGTTCGAGTTGCATGCGACCGCCAGTCGTTAGTTAATTCATCCACTCTCTACTATGCTTTGAAACAGTTTGTATCGAGATTAGTCCGAGATACACTGTGCAAAATTGTATATTTCCTGGAAAAGGAGAATGCTTGGCCGCCTCATCTAACTCAAGACACTGACGATACCCTAAAACCAAAAATGGAAGAAATTTGGTGCAATTTAATCCAGAAAACTTTCAAAATATCCGATATACCAGAGTATCTTGTTGAAAACACAAGCCTTCACCTATGCCTACCTTTCAGTCAACTAGTGAGCAGAAAAGTTGACGAAGTCAAGGAATTGTTTTTAGAAGACCACGCAAAGCTCCTAGAAAATGACGAGGCTGAGGAAACAGCTCGGCAACAACAAGTGAAAAGATTCGCGGTGATAATCAAAAACTGGGTTCCTGAACTTTCCAGTTATACTAGGGACTGTTACGGCTTGTACATGAAAGATATTTTCGATATAATGACTGCCGATTTTAGCAAAACACTAAGTCGTCCACAGCGGTTGTCAACAGCGCAGGCTGTGTTTCTTTCAGAAATAAAGCCAAGTTTGCCACCGGATGACCTGGTCGAGTTTTGTACATTGCTACACACCTTCGTATGGGTTCATCGTGAACGGATTGGTGATTTACTAAGAATGATTGATTTATGTCGGCCGTTTATAGGACTTAACGTTTTAGAAAGTTTAACAAAAGGCAGCCCATTTAGCAGCTCAAAAAAGGTCACTTTAGTGAAATCATTACCTCGCATCAACGACGGGGAAGAATCGGTTGATACGGAAAGAGAGAATGCAGGTGAATCAGGAACGTTTGCAGACATCTTGGTTACAAGGTACTGTGAAGAAATGCTTCCTTCGCCTGAAACGGTCAAACAAAGTGGTGGTGTCGAAGCTTGGAGACGAAACGCAAATTTACTTCTTTCATTGGCGGTAATAATAAGTGAATATCCATCCGCCGTACATTACCTACGTTTATGTGTGAATTTCTCAAGTATTATCACTCCTTTAAATCTACCTTCGTTGCATAATCTTCACAAAATCGGTCTTGATCTTAAACCAGAATACCTAGAAAACAAGAAATCGTTTGAAGAAATAAATAAATATTTAATCAAACCACTTGAGAAAGAAAGGAGTATACAAGCCGTTCATAAAAAGCGTGATTTACAAAAGTTCTTGGCTCTATTTTATGGTTGTTGTATCGACATAAACGTTGATGCCTCCGCTGTTTGTCCAATCATAAAAAACGTTTTGTCTTTGGATCGAGCGGAGTTTACAATGATGATGAGTTCCGTTGTCCTACCGTTACTCATGGTTGAAGAAATACAGTCACCTGGAATATTTATCGACTTAATTTCCACGCCTCGTGGTATGGAGAGTTGCCCTTGTCTTCAGAATATCGACGAAGCTTTCAAAGAACGTTTTGAGCAAGGTTTAATACACCATGATTCGTATCCTGCGGTAATGATTTGTGATCTAATTCAATGCCTGTTAAAATTCGATATTCTTAAATGCAGGGATCGAAATGACAATGGAACGTTTAAATTTAGAGACGTTAATGGCTCTGATTGTGAAGTTCTTACAGTTGTAAAATCTGCCATAAGATTGATATCCCAAAACAGTGAAGATAAGTGTGGTTTAAAAGTTCTCTCAGCTGTCGCATTCCTTAGAGAATTCATCACCAAGTTAGCGAAGTTCATTGCAAAAAATCCTGGTGTAGTGAAGAAAGACAGTCCATATGCTTGTGTACTGACAGAAATCAACTCACTTTTGAAAAATTCAAAAACCTCACTACAAATGTTTCTCATAAAACAACTGCACAAAAATTTAAATTTTTTTAATTTACAAAATTTGTTTGAAAAAGGCAATGTTCTTTCAACTGAGGAGAAATTATTGCCTCACGATATGTTGAATCCTGACATGCAAGATATAGCTGTATTTACATCTGTACTCAAGTATTCCGAATACGAAGATGCAAAGAATTCTTTCTTGAAATTGATGTCAGAGGAAGATGAGTCATCCATCAAAACATTTTTGAATAAATGCTATGGCTCTCCAAAACATGCCTTTGTTCTCCTTGGAATGCTCATAAATATGGTCTATTTAAAGCGGACTAAACGAAAACTCACTGATAAAGAAGAAAAATCAGTCGAATGGCTTGTTGTAAATACAGAACCCTTCCCAACGTTATTTCGGGAACTTTTGCTAAAAATTATCGGGCAGCCTGATTTCAATTGTTCAAAACTTCAACTGACACCCGAGTCGTCAGTGAGTGAAATAGAAACGGCTCTGCTGGTTCTTCACGTTGCCTGTGTCGTCGCCACTAGTTTCCTAGGCGAAAAATCACCAATGTATCGATACCTCACAAATCCTCAAAAATTCGTACAGCCTTGTGTTCTTGCCCATGGTAAAGACGAGATCCGTTCCGTATTTCAACACCAACTATTCACCCAAGAATCCGTTCATGTAACATGCTCCTGCAGTTTGAGGTTAGCTTTCAAAGACACAATAAAGGAAATCGCGTGTCCACGCTGTCCGACACGCTGTCATGAAGCCTTGAAACATGAGTCAAAGCGCATCACGTGTTACGATAATTCAAGTTCAGAATCGGATCTTTGCACAAAGCACATGACTCCTGCGGTTTATCGTGCTTTACATCTCATTGTTTATTCGTCCTACTACGCTGGAATTGCTGTGGGAACTTCGACAGAGGAAAGTGTGTCAAGTGTCCTAAATATGTTGCACGGATCTGAAGGAAAACACAAATGCAAAAGTGCAGAGGATTTTTGTTTTGAAACTATCGAATCTGATATGCAGCATTTAATGAAAATTCTTAGTAATAAGAAAGATGTTGTAATAAAAATCATGCATGTCGTGCTTGAGAGAAGTTCAGATCTGATCAGAAGTAAAAATTTACTAGGATCAAACGACTGCTCAACACCAGAGATGCGTCGAGAATGGGAGGGTGAGTTTGCGAAGCGTACAAAAGAGGTGTTTCTGAATTCCAGTGAAATGTCCATGGAAATAAAAAATATGATGAAACTGCAACAGACTGAAGACAGTCAAACGAAGGTTACAATGTACGCCCGCATCTTGGAACTCGACAAATATCCTGAGCATCGCGAAGAGCAGAATCAGCAGTTAAAGAGATTATTTCGAGTGACGAAACAACCATCTTTTGAAGATTTCCGCTCGGCATTTTTGCATTCTCCAAAAGACGTTCAATCAAAGCACAGTTTCTTGGCCTTGTTCTTCGCAAAGTTTAATCAACTAACGATGGTAGGAAATCTTCATCATCTGTTGAAATGGTCTCGTCTCGTATCATCGGCATTAACCCACCGCATCAGTAGAAAAGATGCAGAATCTAAATCAATTAATGACTTCATAACCGGCCACCTTTTAGAGATAAACCGCAGTCCACAAGAAAAAAGCAGCTTGAAAATGTTGTTTGAAAAGTTTCAAAAAGCGTGGAATGAAGTTTTTTCGTTAAATGAGCAAGGAGTTAAAGAAGTGGAGATGCCAGGACTAATGGAGACGGATTATATAGCTTATTGTTTAACGGAAGGTGAATATAGCATTCACCTTGAAAAAGCTATCAAAATGCTAGTTTCACTCCAAAATTCTATCTTAGACGCAACAATTTCTCTATCATCACGTGGGCATCCGGCTCTGGGTTTCCTTGAAAAGAAAAATTGCAGCGGTGTCGCGATCGCTTCGATTCAAGAAGTCAAAGAGGATGAAATAATCAGTTTTCAATGGTCTGATGATTTGTTGAAATACACACCAAGGAATCTCGAGTATGGTAAAGGCCACGAAATCGCGTATGATTTTGAACGAATAGAAATATTGCTTGCAAAAAAAATAGCGTTCGGAAAGTGCTATTTGGCAGGTACACTGAACAAGTTCATATTTGCAAAGGAATTGTTCCACATCTGTGGCCCTTTATTGACGGAGTTTCGATCATTAATAAAACAAAGTGAAACATTGCCAGAGGATGTGGGTAAAGAATTAGTGAAGCTGAAAGAGCAGAGGATCAAAGACGCCCAAGATCTTCTTCAAAATATCGAAGTGCTCATCTTCTTGCTAAAACGAAAATTTAAGGACATAAACGTGGATATGACATTGAAACATTTCACTGAAAACTGTCCCCCTGAAATCTCTTTTCCAGTAAAACTATTCCCCCAAACTGGAAGTTTGATCAAGATTGAACACGTTGCTGCACTTTACGAAGCTCTGGAAGACGTTCTTGCTGATGGTGCTATTGAAGGACTTGATAGAAAATTTCGGAAAAAATTGACAGACGACATGAAAAAGACCGTTAACGCTATGACAAACAGAACGACTGGCGGTGCTCAATTGATACCACGCAAATTCTTGAAAGTGCTTCGTCGTTTCGTTTTCCGTTATCTCTCATCTGAAAAGTACTGGCCTGAAGAGAGTACACCATTGCAGTGTCATTTGCAGGAACCTTCGCTGTGGTCCTCACTTGTACCACCAAATATGGATGATATCCCGAAAGAAATTACTCTAGAATACATCTACTCGATAGTGAAGTATCTTGAAGAAGAAGGGAAGGTAAGTTTAGATACGAAAAGTGTTCTTGATCCACAAAGAGTGGGAGTTTTTCGATATCCTTTAGGAATTAAGTATCCTTTAGAACATTTTATCTAATTCATTCGATTAAGCCCTCCTACGCAGTTAAGCTAAATTTTGAAATCAGAAAACTTAATAGTACAGCTGGCAAGCTTAGCACCATAAATTTGGTTAAGTTAAAAAAGTATCTGCATTGAATTTAGTGCAACGATTCGAGAAATAAAATTAAAGATTTTGTTCAAATACTGATATAAACTTTTTTATAGAAAAAGGAACGCAAAACCATAATTAGTACATCAAGGCAAGTAACCAACATTGGCCAACGACGTCAGCTTAGGAAAGCGACGTTTATAAAATGATCTGAAAGTATACAGCCTCATTTATAGACAAACAATAAAATGCTTTTGTTATTCTTAATGTAGCGTTGCCAGGAATATTTAAAATTTAACCACAGGTATTAAAGGTAAATGATCGATGTAAATACAATGTGCGCAAAATATTGAGCCAATCTCGAAAACTACAGTCTCGGTTTTTTCAAAGGAAAAATAGCCAGCCAACAATGAGTGTAGGAAAAAGCAAACAGTTTTGGTAACCAACAAGTGAAATCTGAGAACTAGGGATCCAATGATTAAATCATGTTACACGCTCGAAAATGGACGTTGTCGTTGTAGATTCCGGATGTTGTGCTATGAAGTAACGGCGAAAACAGTTCGCCAATCTCATGACGTCGCGTCACCTGTAAATCTCACCTGTTTGTAACCACCCTTTCTGAAGAATGCCATATAGTTGACTATGACCCAAATCAAACTATTACCGATCTGAAATTTATTGTTGAAAAAAAAAATTAAAGACGCCTAATTGTAACGAGCAACGGTTGCGTGATAACGACTTGGAGTTAAAGGTGCCTATGCAACAAATCATTTTATCTTTAATATTTGTATTTACTCGGAAAGAAAACTGACAAAGTGGGTTTCGTTAAGCCTGGTTTCATATATCGTAATTCATCGGCGATGCCGGGTTATTGACGGTGGTCATTGCTGCATGAAATCCTTTGTCTATCGAAGAAAATTATAATTAATTATATCGACAATAGATCGTAGACCATCGCCGATGAATTACGACATGTGAAAACCACGCGTCATTCGCTGTTTATGCTATCGAGTTGTACGCAAATGTTTATTATTATAATAAGCTATATTTCACCAATTTAAATTATTCTTGCATTCTTTTAACAATTTTTATTATAAATTGAAAACATTTACATAATAAAAAAATCTTAAAAAAAGTTCACAACATTTAACGAGCCGCCTATGGTTTAATATGTGGATTTATCAACAAATGTATGGCACGTCTTTGAATTTATTCGTCAATTTCGTTGAAATTAGTTTGATTGGGAAAGCATTTATTTTTAAAGGTGAATCTATTTAAAAAGGAATTGTATGGCGTCATATATCCGCCAAAATTCAACTTCGTTATTTTATGTTGAACATTCTTTGTTTTATTGGACTTTTTGTATTCTGCATTCAAGTTTGTGTATTACATTCATCTTTGTATTTTAAATTCATGTTTGTGTCGGTTTTACATTCAAGTTTGTATTTTGCATTCGAGTTTTCGCATTTTACATTCAAGTTTGCATTGTACATTCAAGTTTGTATTTTATCCAACCGCAATCCAATAGCTAACCGGCTTCGCGGGCGCGGGCGTTAGACATTATCTAACTTTACAATAATCAGTTGAAAATCGGTGCAAACATCACCAGAGGCCTCATATCTATCTATTGCATTAACAACGTCATTAAGTAAATACCGTACTTCCTCCATAGTTCAGTTGTGGAATAACACAAAATTCACTATTGTATTTTAATTTTGTTTTTTTTTATATGACACACCGGCGCACTGAGAACACACCAATGAACTATAAACAAACGACTTTACCTACAGTTCAATGAGAAACACACGCGCACTAACCATTTCGAAATACCACCTCTTTTGAAATCATTGAATCGAAATCAGTGATCGAAATAGAGGAAATTGAGTTCACTGGCACGCCCGCCATACTTGCGCCCGCGAAACCGGTTAGCTATTGGATTGCGGTTGGATAAAATACAAACTTGAATGTACAATGCAAACTTGAATGTAAAATGCGAAAACTCGAATGCAAAATACAAACTTGAATGTAAAACCGACACAAACATGAATTTAAAACACAAAGATGAATGTAATAAACAAACTTGAATGCAGAATACAAAAGTCCAATAAAACAAAGAATGTTCAACATAAAATAACGAAGTTGAATATATGGCGGATATATGACGCCATAGAATTGAAATTTCGCTAAAAGTTGTAGTAGCTATTTAAAACTATTCGTAGTACCAAGTATAGGTATGGTTTAATTTGATATCTCGAGAGTCAAGAAGTCTATACCTGTAAACTTTGCATTTGTCGACTGTCGTTATACAACCTCGTTCCCAGGGCCTTTATTGAAAACGCGGAGGGGGGGAGAAGAGAAAAAGGCCCTGGCACCGGCTGGCATATGTAGCCATTTGATTGGTCAACTGTATCACGCAATTAATTTATGCGATAAGGAATATTTGCATAATTATGTCGAGAAAAAAACTAAGATAAGCGAAAAAATATCGGGATTGTAGTGTGCAAAAAAGTTATTACGAGTTTCTGTCTTTGAAAACCAGAATGGCAGAAACTCCAAAAAAGATAACAGCTCGGACGTCATGTCGACTGTGCGGCTCATTGTACGAAAGTCATCCGATTTAAACAAGCTTTTCCGCTACTTTCATACGATGATCAACAAGCTGGAGAACTTCTGCCTCAATACCGATGTTCTTAGCAACCTTTAACTGGTCCTCGATGATTGCGTTTAAAGGACAGACAACAATAACGATATTTTTGTCAGCTTTGGTCGGCAAGAAATTTGGCAGAAGTTGAAACAGAAGAGATTTGCCAAAGCCAGTTGGTAAAACAGCAACGACGTCAAATCCGTTTAGTATGTGCTCAAAACATTTAATCTGTAACGGCTTTAAGACAAACGATGGGAAACCTCCCATATTTAAAGCATTATGAAGTCGCTGCAGCACGTGTAAGTGGTGTAAACACTTCGAAGGGTCGGCCATCTTGGAATATTTAATTATCGATTTAAAACCACGATTCGTGATTTTAGAATCAGCCGGTGCCAGGGCCTTTTTCTCTTTTCCCCCCCTCCGCGTTTTCAATAAAGGCCCTGGGAACGAGGTTGGTCGTTATAGTGATATTGGTAAGTATCACGGATACGCCCACATTGGAATTAATAGTATTCTAAAAATAGCGGTTATTGAGTGAGAGGCATACGTCTCTTGAGATACATTCAGTTATGCTCAGTTGTACTTTGTGATTTAAATAATGATTCAAATATAGCGGGAATGACATCAAACACATTATAGTTCAGCTGTTTAATTGCGTCGGAAGCATAAAAGCAGAAGCTGCAGCTTTATCGTTTTGTTTCGATGATGAAGGTCCGGGCCTTTAAATTTTCCCAACACGTTTTTTAACTGCTTTGAATCCTTGTTTGTCACACCTGACTGGAAATTGATTTGTTCGGACAAAGCTTTCCTCGTTTTATTTTTTTCTTGCATGGTTTTGTAATTGTTCTTTTTACTTTCTGAAAGATCTTTGTGCTTCCGCGCTAATCAGTTCGGTTTACAGCGTGCGACCTTTCCAATCGCGAGAAATATTGTCTACCTTAAGGCATCTTAAAAGTAACGTCGTACGAACGCATTGGCAAGTATAACAACAGTTTACATATTTTCTATACCTCCCTTCATTAATTACTAATCAACATGAAACCTTAACTCCAGCAAGTCACACTCGAGTGGGAACAGAGTACGTATCAAGCAAAACAGATCGAATCAAAAGAACCAAAGGACGGTGAGAAAAATAAATTAATTGTAATTTGTAGAAATTGCGGGCGTAATCATCTACACACGGGAGCATGCCCAGCGAAAGGCAAAACCTGTGATAACTGGGGAAAACCGAATGATTTCGCCAATGTTTGTCGAAGAAAACAAAATCAAAAACAAGCGCGGACACTGCGAAATCGAACATATAGATCAAATACGAAGTATAAGCCCAAGAATCTAAAAACATTAGACCAGGAATCAAACTCCTCGGACAAGGAGACGTAACATTAAATCGCACAAGCACGAAAGCTTTTGCCGATACGAAATCACCAGTCCAATTCTTAGGCAAATTCGAAGCGCGGTTATAGAAACACGGAAGCGGATTTCGGTGGCAACATTTTACGTAGCAAAAGGCGAAAATAGTGGTTATAATTACTTCTCCACAGCCCATGATTGATAATTAGTATGAACAGTATCATGAACGATTATACAGGGTGTATCAAAAAAAGTAGACAATTTTGAAATGTTTAGAAAACAATAAATTTATCAAAATATCTCATAGATTTGTGCTAGTATGGGTACTTTTTTCACAACACCATTGTTAGTTTAATCACCCGAGCAATCACTCATGCATGAAATCATTCGTGCATGAAAAAAGTTACTCAAGCTGCGAGTTAAACGGAAAAAAGCCCACGTTTACGCAGTTGCGCGGCTGACTTAATTTTCATCAAAATTTCTGAAATTTCGACTCCTTGTAAACAAATACCCAAACGTTCAGCCCTTGAATTCAAATTGGATTTTAAACCTCTCATTCATGTTTGCACAAGCAATTCAAAATGATGCTTCCACAAACCGCTCTTCCATTTTTCGAGGTTAATTTTTCTGTTTGTTTTTAGTGTTAGAATGACCTGAAGATGGTAAAGTACCCATACTAGCATAAATCTATGAGATATTTTGATAAATTTATAGTTTTCTTAACATTTCAAAATTGTCTACTTTTTTTTTATACACCCTGTATGATTTGCGATAGATTTATACATATAATTATATAGATACATTAATGATATAGACATAATATTCAAATTGGGAATTTTGTTTAAAACAAGGGAAGTGATATAGTGATATTGGTAAGTATCACGGACACGCCCACATCGGAATTAATAATACTTTTCTAAAAATAGCGGTTATTGTATAGTTGTTGACTTCTTGTTGACAAGAAGCCTAACTACGGCAGATTTTGCAATTTTAAGCATAGGTAGTCGAGAAATGTTTTCGTTCTCGTGGCGCTCGCGCGTGTACGCGAGTCTACTCAGCCTATTATTACGACAAGGTTCAATAGACCTTTTTCATAATGACGTCAAACGCGGAAAGTATGATGTTACACGAAGTTTGATTGGCTCGATAGTTTTGTGGAGCCAATCAAATTTCGTGTAACATCAGACTTTCCGCGTTTGACGTCATTATGAAAAAGGTCTATTGAACCTGCTCTTTGATGTAAGGGTGTTTACCGTGTTTAACCCATACGCCTCAAGCGAGCAGCTCGTTTAAAGCCAACGAACGGGAAAAGAAGCGACATTACAATTTACAACCAACGGATTGTTGAGGTCGAGCATGGCTCCTTCACACCGGTCGTCTTCAGCGCTTTTGGCGGATGCGGGGTGCAAAGCTTGATGGCAAGAAGAATCATTCTCCATCTATAGTGGTTAGCAGGTTACGACGAAAGATCGCCTTTGCTTTGCTTAGAGCTGGCGTGGTGTGTGTTC